GTGTTTAAAAGAAGGAAAAAGGTGCAAAACACAAGAAGTGTGTATAGATTGTATTCAAACTCTTAAGTGTAAATAAATACAGCGCTATATGTTCATAACTCCTGAAAAGGAGTGACAATATTATCTTAATTTGAGGCTTTTTGTGTTGCCATTGGCCACATTTCATGTCCCAGCCTCCACACGCGAAGCTTCAAATTCAGTCTGTTTAATTCCAAATACTCACAGGTGCATCAGTCTACACAGCCTCAATGTTTCTGGAGAAGAAATAGCTTTTTGAATGTGTTGCATCACTGAAAGCCTTTCTACAACCATTCTCTGTATCAGCCTCAGGTGGTGCAAGAAATCAGGGTTTCGCAGCTGCAATGGGGTCTTTTTTTTTTTCTTTCTTCCTTTTGTGCATGAACAGAATCTTCAGGGTTGTTTAACAAAAAACAAAACAAAGAAAAGTATTCCAGTAATCATAAAGTTCCCATAAATTTCCAGATCCTGTCGTCAGACCTTCTGGTTTATTTGTAAACAGGAAGTCTAACTTTTTTTTTAAAGCACATGACTGATCATAACTCACTGGCCTTCCTTTTGTGGACTCTATCAGCAGACACAGGCTGTTTTCACGCGTACGCTTTTCTAGATCATATCCAGCGGTGCGTGTCAGGATGCAAACATCCGGCGCCGACCTTTAACCTTTTAAAAAACAAGAAAGCGTGCGGCGTCAGGTTGTTATACTTTGTGCCTACATAGAAACAACTAGCCGGTGGCCGTCATGTGTCCCGCCACGTGCCTGCTCTCCCCAGGTCACGCTAGGGGTGTCAAACATAAGGCCCTGGGTCCTAAATCGGCTCAGTAAAGGCTCCTACCCGGCCCACTGGACAACTTTAGAGTGGATAGATTTTGAACTTTTCTTGCTGTAAGTTTTACGGCTTTTCCTTTTAATAAAGAGTCCCCACCCATACTGCACCAAAGTATAAGCGCACTTTCTGTTATCCACGTCTGTCTCTTCTCACCTTTATGATTCATAGCGCCGGCTGTTCACCATCGACAGGACTACAACCTGAGCGCGGAGGGGCGGATGCTGTGCAAACAGCAACCAGCTCCTGAATTCCTCCTCGTCTTCTCATGATCACTGAATCACTCCTGTGACTGAACCAAACTCATAAATTAGATTTTTCTCAACAGTAAACTTGTGTTTGCCTTGTGCAATAGAAGATAACTCGAACATCAACATGTGGTGTATCTGCAAGATCACACAGAGACAGACTAAGAAGATATGGAGCCTTTCATTCACCGAGGTCAGCTCGACACAGAGAAGATCTTAAAATTTTCCTAAAGAGACTGACAGAAATCCCTGCTCCCAGATCATTCCTCCTTTCATCTCTCCTTTCCCTTCCCCATTCCAACCTCCTTCTACCCCACTCCTCCTCCTCCTCCTCCTCCTCCTCCTCCTCTTCCAATTCCTCGCAGTAAACTTCCAGTCCCGGCAGCTCACATACTGGAAGAGGAGGAGCGCACTCCGAACATCTGTGGGAAGTGAGATTATGAAACAGGCCTCCCGTCCTCTGCTGACCCCATCCCCATCGCTCTCCTCGCTCTCTGCTGGAGACACCCTGCAAATGATAGCGGCAGGATACGCTGCCCTGTTTGGTCGTGTGTGCGGAAGACCGGCATTTCAAGCTCCGTTTGAGTCAGCTGTTTGGATGTAGAACTTTTCCCGGTTTTGTTTTCCCCTCGTGTTTAATGTCAGCCAGATGCTGCTTCACGACACCTCGCCTTCACAGAAACTATCTGAAAAACTCTGAAGCGATGTGGGTTCTAGAAGATTTATATTTATTTGTACTTGCAGGTTTTTCCTGGTCGGCTGCCAGCTGACATAACCTAAAAGCATCGTGAAAACTTTCACACAACAGCTAGAAGGCTTTTGAACTTTTCATGCACGTATCTATGGATGCAAATTTCTGTCAGTCCAAATTTAAATGGGCCACAAATATATCTTTCCTACACAGTTTGAGCCCTCAAGGTACTTTCTTACTACTCCAGGGGACAAATGAGTATCTTCCCCAAGGGTACTTCTACATGCAGACGAAGGGAAGCCAGGGATGAAACCGCTGACCTTCTGATTAATAAACGACCTATTGGACCGTTCAGATATTCCTCAGAGGATGAATCCAAATAAATGCAGCGATCTCTGATGTTTATTTGTTTTTCTCATCATAAGTAAAATGTGTACGGAAATTTCTCAGCAGGTGTTAAATGGTTTACCATAAAATGTCCGCATATCGGTGATCTCCACAGGCTGAGTCAAAGAGGAACTCCACTGGCCAGTTTCCACATCGCAGAAGGCGCCACCAAATACGTGAAGATATTTTAATAGTGAACTTGATTGCACAAAACCGGTTATGAGTCAGGTTATGTTTCGTAGATCAGCACTGGCGAGGGGTAGAGTTAAAAAAAAAAAAAAAAAGACCTGCTGATGCGTCAGGCAGTCGAATGATGACGAAATTAGCCAGTGTGTAACGTTGAGGTCATATTGCATTGTGGGAAATTGGGAAATTTAGCATAGAGGATATGAAAGAATGAGATGTCTAATTCTGCCTCATCGCTTTAATCATTGGTGCTATAAACTCTGTTTTAGCTTTTCTTCTGGCGCCATCGCTGGGTGATCATTTCAGTTCCTGTTTTTCATTTCTGGATCATTTCAACATTCTGGTTTCTGACCAGGCGCCTACAAAACGAATTGCTTTCCACTCAGACTCAAACTGTAAACTTCATTTTCAATGAGCAAGTGTTTTCCTGCTAACAAATAAAACTAAAACGATGAAAACAAACGAGGCTGGATGTAGGAAATGTTTTATACCTCGTGCTTTCAGTCTGTGTAACGCAATATATCTGTCTGGCACAGAGATCAATTCTTATCCCTGTTTATTAAATTTTTTATTACTATTACTCAAGCTACTGCACTTATTTGGCGTGGCTGTAGCTCAGGAGGTAAAGAAGGTCTAATGCAAATTAGATTGACTACTGAGAAGTTTGGTCTTTCTATCCCCGGCTGCTCCAGAGTGCATGCCAAAGTGTCCTTGAGCAAGGTACTGAACCCCAAAGTTGCTCTCCGATGTGTTGTTAAGTGCGCATATGGATGGGTCAATGAGGCATGTTGTATAAAGCACTTTGCGCGGTCAAGTAAGAACCAGGGTGTTTAGTTTTAGTCTGTTGTTAGGTGGTTGCTAAGACATGTGATGACTTTATAATATAATAAAACGGCTGATTTAACTTTGGTGCCTGTAAATCAAATGTGTATTGTGTTGAAATTAAAAGGATGCAGGTGCGGAAATGTGACAATGGCCATTCTAGCCCATTGGTAGGCTGTTGTTAGGCAACACAATGAGGTCACAATACCTGATATAGATGAGGTTTGGTTGGTGAGCCCCTGATTGTGTGTGAGGAGTTACTACTACTGCTGTTGATGTTATTACGGTTGATGGCTGTAACAAAATAATTTTACAAATATGGGATAAATGAGGAATTTTTCATCTTATTTATTATTTGCATGTTAGCATGGTACCATTAGCTTTTAAGCTATGCTGTGCAAAGTCCAGCCTCACAATCTGCAAGCATTGCTGGACACCCAGGCTTTGTTTTATTAAATAGTGGTTGTGTTTTTAATGCTTTTCTTTGAATAGCACTTTATTAATTTTGTAGTAGTTCGTAATATAAGTTATCTTAGAGCATGTTTAGTATGCCTCATTTTCACCTTCCTATGTTACAGAGAAAGAAACCCAAAAATATCCTGTATAGAAAGTTACAGTTGAGAGAAACAACTCCCTTTCAACTGAAACGAAACCCCAAACTAAGCCACACTCGGGATTGGTGGCTTCTGCCTCAGCTAAGAAGGTATACTCACCACTTTGGTGGGCCAGGAAGTGCAGACCTGAAACATGTAGAGCCTGCACAAAGGTAGGCCACAGCGAGAGAGAAAGAACAAAAGTAATTGGCTGTAGCAAAGAAATGTATGGAAAATTGGGGGGGGGGCACAGCAGCATATCTAAATGATGGCCTGAACCATGAGCTTTTATCTAAAGGGTAGTTTAAGAATGAGAGGGAGTGTCCATAGTACCTCCTGAAAGCTAATAGCGTGCCATAGCACAACCAGAAATCCCCACAAAAACTGCCAAACTAACACCATCCAAGCTACCGGTGGCAGCATTTTCAGCCTTGTGACTGTGTCACACTGGGTTAGAGCAGAAGTGAAAAGTCATTCCAGTGTGTTCTGGTGGTTCTGTAATTCATCTCTGATGATTCTTAAAATTTGAGCTGAAGTTGGAGGAGCTTCAGGTTCAGTCTGGCCAACATTCCTCAGTAGATGTCACAGCACAGACAGATGCTCCCCTGCTTATCCGCACGTGTCTGGTTGCTGGTGCCGTCTCATTAAATCTGTCTGGTTACAGTCTTAATGTTAACTATGTTTGCTGAAGAGTAGTCCGTGGTGGTTTTCTGTCCGGCCTCTATCCTCTGCAGATGTTGCAACTGTTTCCTGCTTTGTTCGTATATATGATGACATCTAATCCTGTGAATTAACACAAACACGCAGGAGAATTAAAAAAAAAAAAAGCACCTGCGCCGTTTCGGCCCTTCTTACATGCTCTGTCACACGTCTGTAATTTAACTTGCCGACTGCACTCCATGCTGAGATTTGGCAGCACACGCGTCTCTTTCGAGGCTGTAGATCCTCCTCAGCAGCAGAGAGGAGGCCTCTCAGCTGCTGCCTTGAATACCAACTCTGCAGAAAATGGGTCAATCAGCGCGTTATAAAAAAAACCTGGGCTGCCTCTCATTCCCCAGGTGGTTAGAAAAGGGAAAAGGCAACTTTCTGAAAGGTGGAAGGATGTCAAGTTTTAAAATGAAAAACTTGACTTGTTTTTTTTGCTGTGAGTAAAAAAGCTGTGGGCTGATTTATTTCCTCTGCTTCTCTCCCCTCTTCTCTTCTACCCTTTCTTTACTCCTCTTCACAGGCTGTCAGCATCAACAAGGCCATCAACACACAGGAGGTCGCTGTCAAAGAGAAGCATGCCAGGAATATCCTAACATTGTGTGTGTGTGTTTGTTTGAGTGTTTGAGGAGAGGAAGAGCATTTGTTTTGACTTTGTTGTGTGTGCAAAATCATCCTTCCGTAGCTGGAGGGCTGTGTTGATGCAAAACAGCTAATTTTGTGTAACCCCGTCGTCTGCACATGGCCCTGCTGCACAGCTAATTTAGTCATGTGTAAAACCAAACGGAAGGCTAGACGGACATATTTCTGTTTTATCAGACAGACTAAAAAGCACCAAACCGCTAACATCCTGCACAGAGACGGAGCTAAGCAAAGGCCTCAAACATCAGAAAAGAGATCATTAAAAAAAATACACACACACGCAACAAATGTTAAAATAAGAGTTTTCTGTATTGAGATTGGTAAATACTTAGGCTCCGCCAGGCTACACAAACACTGTAAGCCTGTGATCCTTGACTGCCGCTCTCACCCTGCATCTTGGGGACCCATCATGAGAAAGGTGCCCACACCTTCTGGGCGGCAGTCAACCGGCTTCCTCTCTCCAGCAACGCCGTGCTCTGCTGGAAGTTCTGCCATGTCTTCCACAAGCTGCTGCGGGACGGGCATCCGAACGTACGTAAACACGAAAACTTTGTCTCCCTCTTATTGTAACTGTGTTCTGATACTAAATGTTAAGGATGTTTCCCCTCTCTTTGTTTCCATTGTTGTTTCTTCAGGTGATAAAGGACTCCATGAGGAACAAGGCTGATTTAACTGATATGAGCAGGATGTGGGTAAGGATTATGTCATCTCACACAGTCATAAGTCTCATTTACTGCATTTTCCACACTACAGGGCACACTTAAAATCTTTTAATTTTCTCAAAAATTGACAGTGTGCCTTATAATCCAGTTTGTCTTATGTATGAATTCTGGCTGTGCTTACTGACCTCGATACGATTTTATGTGATACACGGCATTAGAAAAATCTGACAAAAAATGTTTTAGAACGGCTGCCGTAGTCAGGAGCCTTGTGGAGGATTCTGGGTCCAAAACTCCGTCCGCTTTAGGCCCCAAAGTCAAACGAACACTGCAGCATCACTGAGAGTCAAAAACTGTCTAAATTATTTCATCTTTAATAAAATGATCAGCGTTGCTGCTTTACAAGGTGTAACAATTAAGTTTAACATCCAGGCATCCATGAAAACAGAATTTATTAAATTTAACAGATTTAGAAGTTAGCAGGAAGTTAGCTCGTTAATTTCCACTTAAACATGATATAGCATGTTCTGACTGAGAGATGTCTGAACAAATTAAAACGTACAGCTCTGCTATCACTTCCAACATTAATGAAGACAGAAAACTAAACAGCAGTGATGTTTGTAGGGTTACTGAAGTTGGGCTAGCTGGTATATAATGATGTGCTACGTGAGCGCTAGCGACACAGCTATGTTAGCATAACATAAACACAGTGAAGCTGGAGGATGAACGCCAACTTTTTTTCACTGGATAAAAGTTAACGTGAGGGTTCCTGATGGTTAAGGATAAATCCAATCGCTTGGCAGGATGCTGTAAAGGGACCAAACTTCAGTCAGAACAACTGAGATAATCCATCCACAATACGAGGTTAGTCATTAATATACTGCGACAACACGGTAATAGAGCAGCTGCGAGAGAATTCAACATTAATGAATCCATGGCACAGAAGTGGAGGAAGCAAGAAGAATGAGTTGAGTAAAGTTTGACTTCTCTGACTCTTTTGTTTCGCTTAATGCACCTTATGGTCCAAAAAATACGGTAATCTTCTTTAGTCCTTACTTTATTGTAACACTAAAAAGGAATTGAATAAAACATGATACGAATGAAACATACTCATTACTAAAATGTGACCATTTAAACTAGTCAGTATAGCCTGGGGTGTTACTCCTGTATTTACAGTGGCTCCATAGTGTAGTGGTTACACATATGCCTAGCATGTGAAAGATACCGGGTGGAGACACACATCACTCTGAGGTTTTGTTAGGAAGGGCATCCAGTTTAGAAATCTGCCAAATCAAATATGCCGAGCTATCTGCTGTGGTGACCAGCAATGCTACTCTCCAGTAATATTTACAGCTGTCGTCATAAGAGATGTGATCTATCTTTACTGAACCAGTTTTGTGCAACCAAACTGTCTTTTGCAGCTATATGAAGGATGCCTTATTGTTATTGCCTTTAAGTGTCATTAAATTCTAGTTACAGTAATTAATGTTATAAATCATTCTGTGATTGCATGGTTTTCTGACAGCTTGGCATTATCGTGCAGCTTGGCAGTGGCTTGTGGGACCACTGCATTTGTTATGTGAAGACACGAAACACTGTGTATTATTATGCCCTTTATTCTGGCATCGCAGTTGTGTGTGCAGAAGTGCATAGTACTGTAGAGGCGCTCGGTAAATGAACAAAACAAATTCTGTCAATTAATTTACGGAGGCAGTAGCTTTTTCGCTTTACTTCCTGAATTACAGCAGAGCTTAAAGTGCTTTCAGAGTAGATTATTTTCTTTTTAAAAGCATGTTGAGAGACCAAGAAAGCCACAGAAACAATAACGCAGCAGTAAATAAACATGCGGCAGAGTTATTAGACATATAGTGCTCAGGCTATTTTTACGAGATGTCAGATTAAGCACCAGATTAAGTTCACATGGAATAAACTTGTGTAGCGAACCTCAGGCCAGGTGAAGGCACTCACTAAAAAGGCATTAACAGGCTGTCCAGGTGGGTGTTGACTCATTAAAATGATCTTTCTAGGAGTTTAACATATACAGGTGCAATTTTTGCTGATTTACTTGAATTTTGTTCATTATCAGAGTACGGCTGCCAACTGTCCTCTTTGCTGTGGTGATCATAGCAGATTATATTCATCATCATTTGTTGGTAGCCTGCTGCCAGGGTGTAGTGACAGACATAATGGACAAAAGCCACATGAGCTCATGTTGCATCATCTACCACCCTCATGAAACAGTAATGTCACCGAGGCTGGTGTCGTTCTGGTTTGGGGGATTTGTGCTGACATGCGTTTAGTCTTGGTGGTGTAGTTAAAAAACAATACTGGAGTCTCAAGTTGTTTCAAAAGATTTTCAAAATAATGTCATTTGATAATATTTGCATTTATCCACCCCACTGACTTCCCTCTCCAGGTATCTTGTAGGAAGCCAGAGATGCATTAAAAGAATAAATAATTTAGTTGACCTGAATAGGTTTGAGCACCACTGTTAGTGTTACTGCGCCTTTAGTTAACCAATAACAACCGAAAGAAAACACAAGTGATTAAAATGGACAAGAAATATCTGACTGGTTAGAAAAACATGGATGAAAATTGTTTCCTGACATAAATGCAGAGATTATTTTATTAAGATAAGTTGATAAGTAAAGAATTAAAAGTGGAAAATTGTCATAGCTAGCTAACTGTGTGCCTCAACAGTTAAATTATTATTCAGTGGCAGAAACAAACTTACACAGTTAACACCTGAAATGATATAAATAGCTAAGTATTACATTAAAAGTTGTAAATTGTCATAGCTAGCTAACTATATGCCTCATGAGTTAAATTATGTAGATAATAAACATAAAGGTTTAGATGGGCAGTAAAAATGATTAACTGTATGCATACATTACATTGTTAGCGCAACCTAATTGGTTAATAGTTGAAGTAGGTAACTAAACTTAACTAGACTGAAAGTTGGAAATTTATTTAGCTAGCTAACGGTATGGCTCAATAACTGAGAGAGCTAAAGAAATGTTTTTAGAAAAAAACCAAGTTTTAACAAGCAATTTAAACGATTACCTAATTGTATAAATAAACAAATGAAATAGCTAAACATAATGGATAAATGATTAAAGCCTGTTTCCATCAGTAAAGAAAAACTATTTTACCTTCAGCAACTCACATTTTTATGTTAGCAGGTTAGCAAGTTGCATACCAAGTTTCGACTCAGGAATAGCTCACAATTTTCACTTGCGTGTGTGTGTGGGGGGGGGTGTTCAGTGGCACAGTTAACAGCTAAAATGACATAAATAGCTAAGTATTACATTAAAATCTGGAAATTGTCATAGCTAGCTAACAGTTATAGTGAGCTAACAAGTTACAAGAGCTGTTCAAGTTGCTATCCAACTTGAACAAATATATACATAAAACAAATATATAAATGAATAGATTAAATAAATAAATAAATAAATAGATGAAAGTGGAAGCCAAAAAAAGTGTGAATAAACTGTTAGCTAAAATTCTTGTTAACGGAACATAACAGCTTAAACATTAGGCTAAATAATCCTGAATGTACACCCAAATAACATATACAGATATATGTACTATAGTGTTGATGAAGCAGTGTTGTCCATCTGAATGGGGCATGGATGGAAAATGCTGGGAACCACTGATAGAAGTGAGCAGATTTCTCTTCATTATATTGATGCCGGTGACTCTGATGAAATGCAAGCGTGTCAACTGCAATACATTTAGCCACAAAAATCTCAAGAGACACTCCTAAGTGATTAATTGAGCAACAGCGACTGGGGTGGAGGTCTAAGATATTCCTTATTACACTAACTCAGTTTTGCTGATGTCAGTAGGGAGGAGGATACAGGAAGCGTGGTCAGTGGGACAAAGGTTGTGGCCTCTTTCTTTCCTGTTATGTCATTACCACCCTCACTCACAGGCTAGAGATATTGTCAACTGGGTTTTTGCATTCACCCGTACACTGTGAGACCTTCTAAAGGTCACGGTGTCCCTGTGACCTTTAGAAGGAAGGACATGGGGAAACTGTTTCTCCTTTGTTTCCTTGGATTTCCTCACTTCCTCTTCTGTCTTTCTACATCAGGGTCACCTGAGTGAAGGCTATGGGAAGCTGTGCAGCATCTACCTCAAACTGCTCATCACCAAAATGGAGTTTCACATCAAAGTGAGTTGGCCTGACCTATAAAACCCATCACCACTCTCCCTCGTCTCTCATTATCTTTGTCTCAGTCTCTCCTTTTAGTGCCAGCAGGTCTCTGCGGGTGGCTTCAGAGAAAATTCCAGCTTTTACACTAATGGCCTCCCAAGAATCTGTAGTGTAGCTTTTTATGAGACATCTGAGTAGAGTTAAGGAGGGACCAGAATACAGTGCCGGTGCTGTCCCAGAAGGTCTGGGTGTTTTTTTGCCAAGGTTGAGGATTTTCACCTGGAAAGTGACAAACATGCATATGATGCATGCCTGCTAGTATGCATATTAATTCAGTATTACTAACAATTGCTCTAATCAGTTGTTTCTATTAAAAATGGATCACTACGCGTAGATTAACATTGCTATTTCACTACATGTTTTTAAATGGAGTAATCGAGTAAAAGTAGTAGGGTGAAAGTGCAAAATAGTGTGAAATACTCACGGGGTGTTTCAAAGTAAAGCCTTGTCATTTGTATCTTTTGTCCGGTCTCCCTTCCCTCATCTCCAACCGCTCGTACAACTTATTTGACTCACAGTACTCAGACTAATTAATGAATCTTAATTTAAATAGCACATTGCTTTTTACAACCATCAGATTGGTCTGGTATATAACCGTATTCGGGACTTTTACATTGCTTTGTCTTTCAGAACCCTCGTTTTCCAGGAAACCTTCAGATGTCAAACCGACAGCTCGACGAGGCGGGAGAGAACGACGTCAACAACTTGTGAGTGTGGCGAGTCGCTGCTTCGGCTGCTCGTATTGTTTTTGTTTGGCAGACAGGACCGCTGTGCTGGCAGCGTTGCCTTTTTCTCAGCTTTGTGGAGCAAAAGTGTGAAATGCAAAATCCTTCAGTTGTTACCGGACAGTCGCACACGGATAATATGTGGCTGTTCATGGGGATAACCAAAAGGCTTGTTCTTTACTTTGACACATACTAACACTTTAACACGTTTACAGAAGATGTTTCATTTGAGGTATAGCCTCCACTCAGCATGATGCAAGCAGTCTCCCATCTGTGCATGGACTGCACAAGTGTCCGGATCTGTTGTTGAGAGATTGCTCTGCATTCCTGGATGAGTGCAGGCTGCAGCTGTGCAGTGGTTACTGGTTGTGGCTGGCCTTTGATGAACATTTTGATGTTCAATAGGAGACATATTAGGAATAAATGGTGGCTAAGGAAGTGCCTGAATATGCTCCCGATCCGGAAAGAGATGGTCACGTAAGCCAACAGTCCTGGATCGGTATCTGCTTCTTTAATGCTTTGATAGTAATAAACCAGACATGTTTTTGTTTGATATTTTCTCCCAAAAAAAGAGCAAAAGTTTGTGGAAAATCAGAAGAAATGGAAAGAAATGTGTAAAAGAAGGAAAACACTCGTCTGTAGGTTAAAAGAAATCTAATGTTATAAGTGCTCTGTACCCATTTGTTAGATTTGCCATCGATGTTGTAATCTGAGGCGTGTATATCAGTGTCAGAGCCATCTCACGGACGCGGAGAGGTTTCAGTTGTCTTTTATTCGTTTTTGCGAGCCACATGGATCTAATTAACACGGGCAAAAGGAAGACATGAAAGAGCTGTCAAACACTTCATTTAGGATAGTTTGCCCATAACTATTCCTTTCTGGGCTTTTTGTTTTGTTTTGGGTTTTGCTGTTTCGAGGAGATTCCATGAGAAAGTTACTCTAGGAGAACTTGACTGAGCCGTAGAAAGTCCTTAACTCATCAACAGGACCTGTATCTGTATCTGATCCTTTGTTCGATGAAGATCCTGATGAGCACTGCCGGAGCTAGAAAATGACCCCCAGCAGATCACTGGTGTGAATGTCTCTGACCAAACAATCAGGACTTATAGAGGGTCCTGTACTCACTGCCAGCACCGTGGAGTCCAATTGGAATTTGACATAGAATACCAGAATTGGCAGGTTTGCTTTGAGCACATGTGACAGACATGAAAGGGTCTTTAGAAGCCGTGGAGAACATTATGATGCCTGTAACGTCATTCAGCATGACTGTGTTGTTAGTGGGCCAGTGATAGCCTGAGGAGGTGTATCCATGACAACAACACCGCCATTGGGTATCAGTAAACCTTGGATCCATTGTCAGACCCTACGCTGGTGCAGTGGGTCCTGGGTTCCTCCTGGTACACGGCAATGTGGTGAGAGTATACAGGCATCTCCTTGAGTATGTTAGAACTGATGCCATTGGCTGCCCCTCATGGTTGCCTGACCTAAATCCAATAGAAACCCTCGGGGACGTTATGTTTCAATGCCACCAGGTTGCACATGAAACTGGCCAGGAGCTCAGTGATGCCCTGGTCCAGATTTGGGAGGAGACCTCTGCAGGACACACCATCCATCATCTTTATGAGCCTCAACATTGTCAGGCATGCAAACAAGCAAACTAACGAGCATCGTTATGAGTTTCTACAATGACATTTCGGTAAAATCCCTGTGGCATAATGTTTTTTGTTTTGTTTTTTACTTTGATTTCAGGGTGTTTCTGAATCAGGTTGATCGTTTTCATTTCCATCTAATGATGTGGCATCCTTGTGTTGCTAACAAATTATCCAGTCCATATCGGTGTAGACATCCAGCATGAGATCTGATGTGTTTTCAGAGTGTTTATTTATTTAAGTTTAGCATTTCTATTTAAATGAGCTCTGCATGTCTCTCTCCTGTCCTGTAGCTTCCAGCTGACCGTAGAGATGTTTGACTACCTGGAGTGTGAGCTCAACCTCTTCCTGGGTGGTAAGTTATTCTGGTCTGACTGCGATGCCAGCTGTGCTTATCTGAAACCGTGCGCATTAACATTCACACACCCACAGATGAATGCATCCAAGTTCACACTTTCACAGACAGGAATACGCAGTCTGACGGATCGGAGGTCTCTGCACAATGGTGCGCAGAAATAAAGATGATGTCATGATATATATATATATGTCACGTCAGAGCTCCACCTCTTCTGTTTCAGTTTACTGCCAGGCTGTTTGTGGATTCATGTTATATTTTAGCCCCCCTTGTTGTCTGGGTGAGTCATCCCAGGTTAATGTCTCTTGAAGTGTGGGTCGAGCTAAAAATAGAGCGCTGGGATGTGACCAGGAGCTCAGAAGAAATGCCAGGAAGGCTGTGTGCCTCCATTTATGAATGATCAGGAGGAAATTACATTCTGGTATCTATTTATCATGGCTTTCATTCAACATCCTGGTGATGTTATCAAACCCTCGTCCCCAACTTCACTCCTAATATTGCTCCCAAGCCTAAATCATATCTCTTCGTTACATTGGCGATCACATGTCGTGCTTTGACAAATCAAAACTCGAGGTTGCACCCAAATCTCTTATGCTGTCGTCAGCTTCCTCATGTGGTCTGTTCTCTAAAAAGCATCACGTCATCTGGGGGTGAAGAGGCCAGACATCTAGGTGCATGCGTGTGTGTGTGTGCACGCTGTGACTAAGCAGGAAACCACACCTCAGCTTTACACATAGGCTCTCAGCGGCCGACTTTGGGGATAGTGTGAGCAGGGCAGCAGGGAAATGAAAGAGGGGGGCGTAATGACAGCGAGTCACACAATCCTGTTAGTGTTCAGGTTGCTGCTCTCTCTCTCTCTGCGTCACTTAAAACCTTTAAGTGCAGCAAGAGTGAGCCGTGTGCTGCTCTCAGACACTTTATTAGTTAATTGTGGCAGAAGCAGTAAAATGAAGAGCACAAGTTGATTGAGTCATGAAACATGTATGATCGATGAGTCTCCCACTGTTTGCAATAATTACTAATGCTCATGTGTGTATGTGTGTGCATTGATTTTTGGGTCTGCATTTATTGACCGTCTCTCTCCTCACAGTGTTCAGCTCTCTAGACATGTCTCGGTCGGTCTCTGTGACGGCGGCGGGTCAGTGTCGTCTGGCCCCCCTCATCCAGGTTATCCTCGACTGCAGCCACCTGTACGACTACACCGTCAAGCTGCTGTTTAAGCTGCACTCATGTGAGTCACACACCCCTGCTGGTCGAGCACACACACGGCTGCAGGCTCAATAACTGCAGCGGTGCTCAGTGTTGTCGTTACTAAATGCAAATATTGTGCAGTTTTTGAATATCACTGAAGTGACTGGAATCCCTTGTTAGACTGGGCTGATTTGCATTTATTGATGTCTAGCTAACGTAGGATTTCGTCCATGGTGATAACTGATTATTTCCATTTTTTTTATTAGTTGAGATTGTGCAGGAAAATAAACACAGGCCTTACTCTGAAACTCTTTTTTTTTTTTTTTTTTTTTTTTTAAATCCTATATGTTGTTTATGGTTTTCTGACCTTAGCTTATGAGAGCAAATCCTCGGCTTAATCAGATGTGGTTAAGACTTAGTCTCACTGTGTTTGTTGACCAGTTTCAATCATAATTGTATTTTTATTTTAATGTTAATTGTTTTTAATGTTCGAAACTGGTCAACAAACACAACAGCAACATTAGGTCTGCAGCTAGCGATGAACAAAACTGCCATTTTTTTAATGCTTCTGTAATTTGTTGCTAAAGGTAAATAGTAGTCATTGCCATCACATCTGTCTAAAGCACAGATGTGCTTAAGCCATTTAACACTAACTTGTGACTCATTCAAGTGCAGTCGAATGATCAGTGGATGGACCAGTGTTGTGTCTACATGTAACAGACAACCTTTACACACTTTGTAAACATTTTTGTGACAGACTGCTGGTAACAATTTCCACAAAATAGCATTTTTGCACCAACAAGGCAATTCTCAAAAAGCTATTAGTCTGAAACTTGGCATATCTCAGCGTGGTGTGCAATGTGTCCTTAAACAAATTTGAGGAAACTGAACAGATGCAGGACAAAAGAAGAAAGGGAAAGACTAAAAAAAACTATCTACAGCAGATAAACAGCATCTGAAAGTCACATCTTTAAGAAATAGGAAAAAGACCTGACACAGGACCTGAGTGATGCATCTGGACCTTCAGTTGATCCGTCTACTGGCATCACTTTCAACTTTCAGCATGATAATCATCCCAAACACACTCCCAATGCAGTTTTGTTTGCCCGCTTCAATAAGTCACTGCACCTTTTCCAAGCAAAGTATAAAGAAATGTGGGGCGGCTCGACACTTTTGAACATTACTATACCTCAAATATTTGACATCATCATTTTGCCTACAACAGTAAAATCACAGACCAATAAATACTGTAGTATGGGCTTGTATTCAAGGTCTCACTCGTAAGCACCACTTAAGTACAAGCTGATGAAGCCCTGTGTCTCCTGAACTGCACTGGGTTTAGCTGTAGGATTTCTAGCCTTACCTTTGGCTCTTAATATTCCTCAGATGTGTGCATACTTAAAATCTCTGACAGTTATCTTCAAAGATTGAGAGATGCGTTTCTCCTCTCTGAATCGACGGATTCCTCAGAACCCCTCGGGCTCATGAAAATTTTCAAAGCCTCACTGAGAAAAAAAAATTAACCAGCAGCTCAGTTTCAAAAAGCCTTTTTCTTACTCTCTGGAAAGGTAGATGTGGAAATTTGCAGTTCTGAAGTATTCTTAATCAAATCCCCCCGTATGTGTATGCAGTCAGACATGTCTTAAAGTATCCTGATCTACCTGTCTGTAAATAATTCCTGGCCACTTGTCTTTGTGTGCACGCAGGCCTTCCAGCTGACACTCTCCAGGGCCACAGAGATCGCTTCCAGGAACAGTTCAAGAAGTATGAAGTTCACTTTCAGTGTCTCACACACACACACACAGAGTTGGTCACAGTTTCTCTGAGCTCTTGTTACCGTGCTGAATGAATTTTTAGTGTCAGACCTTTTTGCGCTGTCTGCTTTTCTCAGTGAGGTTTTCCCGTTTCCTCTTTTTCATTTTTATATCTCTCCCCTTTTTGCTTTCAGGCTAAAGAGTCTGTTTTATCGCTCCAGTAACCTGCAGTATTTTAAGAGGCTGATTCAAATCCCACAGTTGCCTGAGGTGAGGACTTACGCGCATTTAAACCACACCTAAACGTGTAAAAGTTTCAGTTCAAAGCTTTTATCTTTGTTGTTGAATCCCATCGTTTTTCACAACTGAAAATGAAATGTGATGTCACGCTTTCATGAAAATGTAGGCAAATAGATTCCACTGTGATGAACCTGACGAAACCAGGACGTCATACAAAGAATAACCTCGTGCCTTTCTGATTGTCGCAGAACCCTCCAAACTTCCTGCGTGCATCTGCTCTGTCGGAGCACATCAGCCCCGTGGTCGTGATCCCCGCCGAGTCGTCGTCCCCGGAGTCAGAGCACGTAGTGGAAACGGACGACCTGGTGGACACGGACGTCCCCGTACTGCCGGTAACCAGATAAGCAGCTCTGGATGCTGTCTTCTTAAATTTGGCCCATCTGTTTGTCCAGCCAAATTATTAGGGACATCTGTGAACTCGTATAGGATCCAGTAGAGCTGTTCTGCCGCATCGCATAGATTTATATTTAAATGTGTCGTCTATCTAAGCATTTCCTCTGTATACATCTGGTTTGTATAGTATTAATTATGCTGTTTTTCAGATGCACATGAAATCCAGTGTCTCAGCTTATTGGAATATTTAATAAGATCAATTTTAAAAAAAAAAAAAGGTTTTACTGTTTAAGGTCCAACCTTAAACAGTTTGGTGCAAATTATTGGTATGACATGGACGTGATCAGCTCGTTGCACTGCTGAAGTGTTACTGAGGGTTTGACAGAAGCTTTCAGCTTGTCAGTATTTTTAGCTCTGGTGTTTCTCATCTTCCTCTTGACAATACCTCCAAGTACGGTTCAGTTCAGGCAGGTCGATCGAGTGCACTAATGAAATGGTCGACAAACCGTGGGCACGTGTGAAGTCTGCTTCTCCATAAAGTGCTCTAAAATCTCTTGGTAGACAGCTGTGTTGACTTTGGATCAAACACCTCCAACAGCAGCAGGTGACACAGCGCTCAACATCATCCCAGACTGCAGAAATCTCACACTGGACTCTAGATCCTTGATTTCCAAATGAAATACACAGTTTACTTTTATCTGGAAAGATACTTTGAACCACAGCGGATGTCCTTAGTCCAGGTAAAACATTTTCAGTGCTGTCTCTGGTTGACAAGTGGTTTCATTTTAGGAATGGATCGGTTTCCTGAAGATGTCTGAGCGTGTGGTGCTCTGACCACAGCCTCAGTCAGCTCCTTCTCTGCAGGCTCTTTCTGTGCCTGCTTGTTGAGGATGTCAGTGATGATCATCTGGGCCGCTGTCAACTCAGCAGTTCTCCCCATGATTGTGCTTGCGTGTACTGAACTAGCCCATCAGACACTCTGAGTACATTACAATCCAAACTGTACAAACACAAACTGTAAAGGAAATGTTCTAAATACAAGAGATACTGGATTTTCATGAGCTATCATAATTATCAAAGTAAAAAAAAAGTGGTGACATGTTTCACTTTAGGTTGCTATGTGATTCGTGTGTTTATCCTTTTCAGGCTCCTGTGGAGACAAAATTCGACGACCTGTTTGGCACCTCGGCTGCTATCGACCCGTTCAACTTCAACAGTCAGAACGGCATGCGCAAGGATGACAAGTGAGTGTCATTACAGGAGCAGAGTGACATGAATAAACACTTATTGTATATAAAATTGCCCAAGCGCTGCGTAAACATGTCTCTGGTGCCTGAATGGTACCGTGTGAATCTTGTTCTCCAGTTTTATGTAGAGCAGCAGAGATGACAAATATTGCCAAGTATTTCTAGCAGTCCAGGACACACGTGTGCCATCGTACCCCAAATAGCTAAAGTTTTGCTTATGTTAACAACAATCTTGTAAAATCAGATTAGATTCATTTTTATCTGTGATGTTAATGACAGAGACCGGCTGATCGAGCAGCTGACGAGGGAGATCCAGGCCCTCAAAGAGGAGCTGGAGTCTTTCAGACTGGAGGTAAAAACAGCAGCTTTTTTCCTAACTTTATCCGAGCAGCATCCTCACAAAACGTATGACCTTTTCCCCCTCTCTCCTGTCCGTCGCCAGAGCGGCCGGTTGTGCCAGGCTCTGCGGGGGCGAGTCAACGAGCTGGAGGCGGAGCTTGCCGAGCAGAGCCACCTGAGGCTACAGGCTGTGGGAGAGAGCGAGTTCCTGAAGGCCGAACTGGACGACCTGCGGAGGGTCAGGGAGGACACGGAGAAGGAGCAGAGAAGCCTAACGGAGATTGAGAGTAAGGCTTTGTTTATTCTAGCACATTATCTACTCAGTCAACGAGTCGAATTTTTGGTCATGGTCATCTGACATAGCCGCTTCACCTGCTGTGTGTGTGTCTCTCTGTATGTGTTCACGCGACTTTTACCAGGAAAAGCTCAGGCCAACGAGCAGCGCTACACCAAGCTGAAGGAGAAGTACACCGAGCTGGTTCAGAGCCACGCAGACCTGCTGAGAAAGGTGAGACCCTCTACTTCATGAGATCCTTAGATCGCAGTGGCCTCCTCGTGTCCTTTATTTCTGTCAAGCTGAGGATCTGCTGTCTGAATTACAAGTGTTTCTTTGTGTGTCTGTATGCAGAACGCAGAGGTGACCCGGCAGATGACGGTAGCTCGGGCAGCACAGGATGAAGTGGAGGCGGTGAGGAAAGAGATGCAGGAGAAGGTGAAGGCCGCTCAGGAGGCGGCGGACAGACAGGTGAGAACGAGGCTGGTTTGGTCATCACTGCCAAACGTGTACGGAAAGCGGTACGGTTTCGCTCCAAATGGTGTGCAGAGTTTGGTAAAGTTGGATTTTTCTGCCGCAAAGTGACCAAACAGGCTGTTGTTTTTAAGATGTCTGAAGTTTAATTTGGGCTTTTCTTGCTCAGGAGCGGGAGCAGCTCGAGCATCTTCAGGAGCTCCAGAGAGAGCTGGTCTCAAGCCGGGCAGAGCTGGACTCCCTGAAGACCAGCATGGCCTCTTCGCAGCAGGTCTCTCTCTCCTCTCCTTTCTTCGCTCAGATCCTAAATCCAGATCCCGGAGTTGCTGTGAAAACTTACAAAACTAATTTATAGCCCGCTCCCTACCCTTTAACATTAATCTATAAAAACACCAGCTAACACAAGAGTGTGCGAAAAGATTAATGACATGGGTGGCCTGTGTGATCTTTATGTATAAAGTCTTATAATGGGGCGCTGACACCACACACTCTTATTCTAATCATCAATTATTAAATGATCTCAGTCACTCTCTAGCTTGGCAGCAGAGAAGGGACAAAGTTAAATACAGCTGGCATCCTCCTGTGATCCTGGAGCACACCAAGCCTCAGATCTGCAGATTTTTCTTCGAAGGAGTCAGGCTTTCTTGGCATTTGTAAAGTGATCTAAAGCAATAATTCTCCAGGCTTTCTGAAAGTTTGTCACAGTTTTTCATCAGACGCTGGTTCCGGTTTGACCCAGAGAGCTGTCAGGGGAAAACGAGGCCTATCTCTAATAAAGGTGCTCATAGCAAAGCTTGTTGGAATTAAACAAATGAGGGATGCTCAACACTTTTACACAGTACTTTTAAATGGTAACAACACATCCCGGACGCTGACTCAAAGTTAAATAACCGCTTTTCTGTCACAATCGCGCTCTATAAAAACACGCTCCGTCCCCGTCCATCATCCACGCCCTCCATTTCTTTTTCATCGTCTCCTCTCTTAGTCACGACTGTTCCTGTACGCGAACCGCTTCAGAGACTCAAAGCGCAGCTTGTGTTAGAATTGATATGCTAATTCGTTTGTTTGACATCAGCGATTGAATAAAACGATTTTCACAGTGGAGAAATTTAAACAGAAGCAATTGTTATGTATTCATTTTCCCCCCTCACCGCCTCGTTTCTTTTCTTAATCCCCCCCCCGGTTGGTTGGTGGTGTTTTTTGGTCATTGCTGAGCTGAATAGAAAAAGTTGCAGAAAACAAAGAGAGAGCGAGAGATGAGAGCGGTAAAAATCTTGCACAAACATTAACTGCTTATGGAAACACGGATATTTAGTCCCTTACATTAGTGCAGCATTTCATTCCAGGATCTTAACTACGGATGTTTCAGAGGGGAGAAAAAAAGCTGGAGCTAACGAGATCATTTACAGGAAAATTCATAACGGGATAAGCGTAATTTAAACATAAATAAATAAATAAATCCCTGAATCATGCTGTTAACCCTCAGGATCCCCGACGACTGTACCGTTTCTCTGCACATGCTCTGTTCCCTGTGCCTTTCATCCGTCTCTCAGCCTCCCACTCCTGACTTCCTATTCTTTGCAGCATCCACTTATCAACTCCATCACTCTTTCTGTCCTCCTCCGTCTCTCTCCAGTTCTTTTCGCTCCCACAGCCCACATTTTATCGCTCTTGTCACTTTATTTTTCCTTCTCCCCGATGAGCAGCTCTCACACCGCAGCTTTAAAAAGCCTAACAGTTCTGTTTCTTCTTCATTTCCTCCTCTGTCTGTCGGACCTGCCGGCACCCAGGCTGTAAGTCTTTCACCTTTTCCTGCTTTTACACTTCACTATCTACCTGCAAATAAAAGGGCAGGCACTCGGCTCAAGTTCCACTGCTCTCCTTCAAAGACAGGAGGATGTAGCTACATTACAAAACCACAAATTCCCAGAGTTCCTTTATTTAAAGGTAAACCCCAAAGCTCTGGAGTCTGAGACAACATGGTTATTGTGGTTAAAGATGAAGTGTGGTTTTTTTTGTCTGTGTTTGGGTTTTTATAGTGAGGTCAGAGCTCTTCCTGATCCCGACAGCTGTGAATTATCCTGACCATCCAAATCGTTTCCTTCTGTTGTTCTTCTCACTTCATTGTTTTTGTTTCGTAATCCCTCCATGTTTTATTTCCTCGACACAGTCGAGCGAGGTGCTCGGCACTCAGCTGGCAGCGTTGGAGTCGGAGAAAGCCGAGCTGGTCCAGTCGTTGTCGAAGGTGGAGGCGGAGCTTGCGGCCCGGGGGGAGGAGCTAGAGCGGGTCCAAAGCTCGCTGGTGACGGAAAGAGAGAGCAGGGTGAAGAGTGCTGAAACCCTGCAGAACCAACTCAACGAGAAGGTGATGAATTCAAACATCTCCACTTGTAAACTTCTTAATTTTAGTCACTTTAAATCGAGCACGTGTGAGACGCGAGCGGCTCTGAGTGTGCAGATTGCGATGTTTGTAAGTTTGACCGTGTGCGTTTGTCCACAGGAGAGCAGGGAGCAGGCGTTAGAGAGCCAGCTGGCAGCGGCTCGTTGGGCCAGCCTGCAGGGCGCCGTGGAGGAGGCGGAGAAGATCATCCAGGACAGTCTGGCTCAGATAGACGACCCGGCGCACATCAGCTGCACCAGCTCGGCAGGTCAGAATCTGACGTGTGGATTCTGTGCAGTGCAACTGTGAACATCACCTCTTTGTGTAGCAGCGTGTTCGTGTGCATGCGCTCATCAAGTGTGTCGCTCCATCTCTGCAGACTACCTTGCATCCAGGTGTCAAGCCTCCTTAGAGTGTATGGAGAGATTAAATTCTACCAGAGTGGCCTTCCTGGCTGACAACACGGGTGAGACGAAACAGAATGTGAAAGAATAAAATTAGTTATTTGTTTGTAATTTGTTATCTTTTAAAATCACGCTGTGTTAATGCTGTTAAATAAAGCTGATGAATATTTGTGATAATTTTTACTTTCTTTTTTCTGCTGTTTTGTGCAGGTGTGTCTGAGCTGGTGCGTGCAGTGACCCAGTCTGGCCACCTGGTGGGCGACACCATAGTTCAGGGTAGTGCCACCTCCCACATGGTGCCTGTGGAGCAGGCTGACGGTAAGATTGTTCTCTGTGAGAGGTACAGAGAGATGATTTCAGTTTATGGAGATTTTCATTTCCTTACTTATCTGAACTGTTCTGATCCTTACACTCACTGGTCACTTTATTACGTACACCTTGCTAATACTGGGTTGGACCTGTTTTTTGCTTCAAAACAGCCTTAATTCCTCATGGCATGCTTTAAATAAGGTGCAGAAAACAACCTACAGAGATTTGACATGACAGCATCATACAGCTGCTGCAGATTGGTGAATCTCTCGTTCCACCACATCCCAAAGGTGCTGTATTGGATGGAGGTCTGTTGACTGTAGAGGTCATCTGAGTACAGTGAAGTCACTGTCTGCTTAGTGATGTGAAATCATCATCAAATCTAATTAAAAGCCAATCTAAATAAATGAGCCTTAAGCTGCTTTTTAAAAGAATAAATACATTCAAGGCGACGTAATGATGGAGGGAGAGCATTCCACAACCTGGGGGCCACTGCTCTAAAAAAAATCTCCTCTGGTCTTAAAACGTGTTTGTGGAACTACCAACAGCCTTTGATTAGATGATCTCAGGCTGCGAGAGGGAGCGTGGGGTTCTAAAAGATCAGAAATGTAGACAGGGGCATCACAATTCAAAGCTTTAAAAGTCAGTACCAAGATTTTAAAATGAATTCTAAAATGTACTGGAAACCAGTGTAATGAACATAAAACTGGTGTAACGTGCTCTCTTTTTCGTGTCTTAGCTAAAAACCTTGCAGCAGCATTCTGGACTAACTGGAGACAGTCAGGATTCCAATAAGCCAGAGGACTAATGGCTCA